ATCTGCTGTATCTTTTTTTTTTTTTGATGACCTAAATATCTTTTATTCACAGAAAGAATTCAAATAGCAAAAAAAAAAAAAAAAATTAAAACATTAAAAAAAATGTGTAACCTAAGTAGTAATCAAGAAAGTATAAAACAATGCAAGATAATTTTCACTCATCAAACCATTCAAAATAGAGATTTTTAACAGTATTTGAGAAAATAGATTTGGTGAGAATTTGGAAATTGGCACAGGCTTTTTAGAGGACAATTGGCAGGATTGATCAAAATCTAGAATGAAGCATACTTTTAGCAGGAGCAAAACATCCCTCTCTGGTGAGCAAGGTGATGGTTTCTCCAAGTGCTTTGCGGAGGCTTCTGGTTCCCTGCCAGGATGCCACGGGCCTGAGTAATTAGCAAAATCCCACTTCCCTTTGCTCCCTTTATTATCTCGGGCATGGGACTCTAACAGAGGCCTAAGGCCCAGCCAGCAAAGTGCCCATCATTCGTGGGGCTGTGGTGATTGATTCAGAGAACAGTATCTACATGAGGGTCAGTGAGAGTAAAGTGGAGTTTTGTTTAACGGCTGGGAATCCCTTGTCTTCTCTGGAGGTGAATGATGAAGCATATATCTCTGAGACTCTACCCTAACAAAGTTTATATTATGCAAACAAAATTTTGATTAATTCTAAATCTAATGAATTGTGACCATATATTTATTTCAACACTCATAGTTCTAATCATTTATTGACACTAAGTAAATTCCTTAAACTTCCTAAGCCTGTTACCTGACCTATAAAATAGGAATAACTTTCCTGCTTCAGAGGTTTACTGTCACCACTGTCACATGGAAGTCATGACAACGTGGTGCAAAGATAGGGGAATAAGGGGTGGTTTCTGTTGGGGGTCAAGGGTCCCAGTTCCCCAATCCCAGTCGACCTTGTCTGATTATTCAGCTGAGCTAGAAAATTCAACTGAGGCACAGGGTAACTGGAAATAAAACTGGGGCAGCATAGGCAGCATGAATGGAGAGCAAAAGTGACCTCCACAAGTCTCAGTGTAACAAAGAGAAATTATTCAAGAACAAAGGGGAAAGTTAGAGCACTTCCAAAGGATGTTGTAAGTGGACCCCTCTCAGGAAGAAATGAGAGAGGTGAGACACTAAGGCTGTGCAGGGTACAAACACCCTCTTTCTCTCCGTTTGAAATTGGTTACAAGTCTTTCATTGGCCTCTCTACACCCCAGGCATTATTGCCCTTTTCTATTGGTCATTGATTGCATAGATTACCTCCACTTTCCTAGGGGCAGACTTCCGGCTGCAGGCCAGTCTTCCCTCTCCCAGTTTCCTGTCCTTAGGGACACTGAGCATTTAGTGGCAGTGAACGCTGGGTGTTGTTCTTGCCTTTGTGCTTCTAGAATCTGGCCCTGAGTCTTCTGGAGGGTCTAGGAGCAACTAACTAAACACTTTTTAATAAAATGACTTTTCTACTTTAAAAAAAAAATAGTTGGGGAGAGAAGTATCCAGGAAGACAGGTAAGTCCAGGTGGAGGAGGGAAGCAACCAACTGAAATGCTGTTGTTACGGGGTCAAGGGATAGTTTCCAATCCTGGCGGCAAGATTAGGGTAGGTGGGAAGCTGAGTGCAAGTAAATCAACATAAAATCCTGTTCTCTTGACTTAATGAGATTCTATCCGAGTCTAGGGACAGGAAAACATGCTGAGCGGAGATATGTTATGTCCATTTTCCTGATCCTTTCTTCTTCTTCTTCTTCTTCTT